CATCACCACCTTTCAGAGTCATCATGTGAATGACCTCATGGGATGGGCGGCCCCCAAGATGATGCTCAACATTCCTTTTCCTTTCCTTCCAAATTCGCTTGTGTGAAGGCCACTGCTAAAATGCAGCTCTGCTAGCTGGAGGGGTAACACATGAAGCCACGAGCCATGCTTACGCTGGTGCCTGGAAAAGGACAGAATGCTGAGAGAATGGGCCATAGGACAGGCAAGTTTGTCATCTTTCTGTTTTTAGATCGAGTACTAAATTTGTTCGGCATGGAGCAAGCAGTGTTTTATTTTGTTTGTATAGTGAACAAAATCCCGACCTTCTTTCCCCCTGTGAACATGATTTTGACAGTTGTAGATTTGAGCGACTCGCGTATCTGCTGCCACTTCTGTCATGAGGTCAACCCAATGGCCACAGACTGAATTCCTGGGAGCAGGTTCTGAGATGGAGAGCAGAAGATGGGTGGTGGTGCCGTCCTAACAAGGCTTTAGCTTACCCTTCAGGGAGCTCTGAAGTCGGCAGGGCCTTTTAGAGTTATCCCGTTGGGGTTAAGGGGGTTGTGCCTTTATACCCTGTAACGAGCTGTCATTGGATGTGAGCTGCTCTGTGGAGGGAGCAGGGCCTGAAGCCAGGCCGCTCTCCTCGGCCAACGACCTTCCCAGCAGCTGAAGGGACAAGCCCTTTGGTGCTGAAGGGGGGTCTGGGTGGTACAGCACAGCAGCCCCACTAGCCTTTACCACAGTGGCTTCCTTGTTTAGCAAGAATAGCCCAACAAGCAGGACTGGACTGGCCGAGGCGGTGGCCCGGGTCCCAGGCGCCATTCCCTTGCCCTCCCCTCTGCTGTCACGCTCTTACATTCTCCTGGTTGCACGCAGATGACAATCCGGCAGCGGCCCGGGCACCTATGTGGTCGCACCCAGTCTTTACAGACGAGGAAGAGAAAGAAGGTGGATGGCAACAGTGGTCTGGAATCGAGAGAATTTGCTGCACACACGTTGTCGCTTTCCGTACTGCAGCGTTGGGCTTGCTAGAGCTCGCGGAGCGGAGGATGCCTCTGAAGCAGCTAAAACAGCAGGCTTATTTTTATGAAGCCAAGGCTTTGTTAAGCACCTCACCTCCTACAAGCACCAACGCTTGCTTTGGCTCTGCCTCCAGAGACAGACTTTTCTTTTTTTCCTTTTTCTTTTCTTTTCTTTTCTTTTCTTTTTTTTTTTTTTTTTTTTCCTGCCCTCAAACTCCTATTTACTCTCTCTGGGCAGCTGCAGCAGGGAACAGTCAAACTCTAATAAATTAGGTACAGGAACAAATGAAAGCTTCGTGGGGGAGGTTGCTCGCGGACCTGTACTGAGCTGAGGTGGGCATCGCCCCCCAGGGCAGTCAGTACACAGCCGCATGTTCGAGCCCACACGGGGCAGCGCCGAGACGGTGGAAAGGACCGCAGTGTGAAGCCGCCTTCTGACTCGCTCAGAAAACAGGAGCGAGGCTCAGAGCCCACAAGGCCCCAGACTCCAGCTCATTAAAAAATCAGTGGCTTTCTCTATTTAATTTTTGAATAGGTGAGACACCCACATGATTCAAAGCCGAATGTATAAAAAGAGCTATAAAATCGGTGTTTATTAAGGGGCCTCTTATTTGTGGCGGTCAGCAGGGTGCAGAGCTGTGCTCGTCTGTCACCCGTGTCTTCCAGGAGCGTCCGCTCTGAGAGGCCAGCGTGAGTCATATTTTTTTCATCTTTATTGTTTTGTACTTACTGAAAATAATACCTGCTCCTTGTAAAGTAGTTGAACGTTGCATAAATGACTGGCTGTTCAAGTAGAGGTTTTCCGTAATCCTATACCTCAGAGATAACTATTGCCAATTGTCTTGCATTTCTTTCTTACATATACACATATATGGGGTTTTTAATAACAGTAAAAAAGAATTCCACTCTAAGTGCTATTTTCGGCTTTTTTTCTATATAAACATACAGTGCTGAAATCCCTTATTATGTAGAGATTGGACAGCAGCGTAGCATTCCGGGTATCTGTACTGTAATTTATTTATCCAGTTTTATTTGGAATTTTTAAACATCTGTCATACAGCTCTTCTAGTCGGCTTCTTTATTGCTTGTAACTGATTTCCCTCGCATTCCGGGGTCCTCCTCTCTGGAGAAATGAATGAGAAATCAGTAAGGGAAGCTTCATGGGGGAAGGTCTGTACGTAGAGGCAAATGAGACAAACAGGTCAGTTTGCCTTGAGCAGGTAACAATGAGGGATTAAAGGGAGATCAAGACAGGTTGGAATGGAATGAATGTTGACACCTGGACGTTGAGTCGTTACATAGCAAAGTCATTATGGCGGGAAGTGGCATGCTTTAGTTGAACCCCAGCTTGATATCAATGAACAATACAATTGTCAAATACTTGGCTATTTACAAGTATTAGCAGTCCTAGGCTGCTAAAATGGCAGCCCATATCAGAGCGGGCAGTAATCCCATCGTCATCCACACTGGTCAGATCACATCTGATTTCACAGGATCAATACAAATATCCATAAGAGAGAGAGACAGAACAGGAAGGGGACTATCATCATCTCATAAAAGTAACTGCTGTAGGATTGGGACATCTTCAGTCTGAAGAAAAGAAAAGTAAGGGGAGATGGGTTAACTGTCTTTAATAAATGTGGACTGTCACATGGAAAAGGTACTGAACCTGTGTCACCCCAAATGGTGGAATAGGACCAGCCAATAGAAATTTTAAGAATGTAGATTTTGACTCCACACACAGAAATTCCTTGTCTTTTGCTAAAGGGTCTTCTAAAAAGTTTAAACATATCAGAGATTCCCTGATGGAGTTTCCTTTCCATTATTTTTTCAGCCAACACTTTCTACATAAATCGTACAGAGGTAAAATTCAACCTAGTCCTTGCCGAATTTCATAAACTCTTGATTAGTAGGATTTGAGATAATGAGACCTGATTGTACACTGCTTAAGAAAGGTTTTCAAATACTTTAATCTCTTTCTTCCTGTTTATTTCTTAATCCCAAGCCTTTGACCACCATGTGCCCTCAACTCCCACTGAAGCGGAGAACACACAGAAAACCCACACGAAAATGTAAATCTGAGAAATAAATATGCGTGGTTGGCTTAAAAAGAGTAAGAATTAACATTTAAAGCAATGGCAATTTACTCTGATCTGTAATTTTGAGCTCCTGTGCTGAAATTGCTCATTTGGAAATTACCAAGTGCTTGGGTCTCATTTGTGATCTTCTTCCTGCATACACCCAGCACACAAAGGAGTCATAATGACTGGCTGAGTCACTGCTGCCATCTCCCTGATGCATGCTCTCCAAATGTCAATACCATTTTCTCTGGTGTGGTGACGAAGATTCCCAACCGTAGCTTGCTTTCGCTATAGGACGAGGCCTGGAATGTGTTCAAAGGGCACCACCATCTTCCATTCTCTACTGCTCCAGTGGCCAAACTGTCATGCCACAGATCGTTCTGGCTTTGCAGATCATTCCCATTACCCATTTCCGTTAGTTATTACCTAAATATAAATGGAAAACAATTTAAATTTATGGGAATAAGGGAGCTGCTTTTGACCATATCTGAGTAAAATGGTGTCTGTACTTGATGAAATGATATACTCAGATTATAGATTCCTACCCAAAGCAAAAATAAAGGCATGATATCATGTTAGAGACGTAAGTTCTCTACAAGACCAGTACGTGGAAGACCCTGTGCTATTCTGTGGCTCCTACTTTAAGATATACTGCTCTTCCCAACTTCTCAAACGCCACCTCCTAAGGGGTTACCCAGAACTCAGCATCACATCTTCTCTGTCTTTCCCATTCAGTATAGATCCAGGGTGTTAGTAGTTAATAGCTGTCTGATGTAAATTAACTAAAAAGGAACCAAGAATCCCTGGTAAATTTAATTAAGAAAGGGGAAGAACTCAGGAAGACTTGATGTGATTGAACTTTTTCATAAAACTGTGGTCAAAGGACCAGTATGATATCTTTGTTATACACTGTCTTTGTCAGGTTTTCTGAGGGCTGTTTTACATGAGAGACATAATTTATCTTGTTGGATAGTCATATCCATGTAAGAATCAGCCATGTTATAATAAGGTTCTATCTCTTCTGAAGCTATTTCTTTTTTTGTAAATGTATTTGTTTATTTGAGAGAGAGAGAGAACATGAGCAGAGGAGGGACAGAGACAGAATCCCAAGCAGGCCCTGCGCTATCAGGGCAAAACCCAATGCGGGGCTCATTAACACGAACCTTGAGATCATGACCTGAGCCAAAATCCAGAGTTGGACGCTTAACCGACTGAGCCGCTTAGGCGCCCCTCTACTGAAGCTATTTCTCATTCCAAAGAATGTTTAGTGGAAGATGAAAGACATGAGCTGCAACAGGAAACACTGAGGCCAGAAACAAGGAGAAAGCTTTGGCATTCAGGCCATCCATAGTTTGATAATGCACGTCAATAAAAAGTTAGGTACTAAATAATTCAGCTGTGATTGCTTAAGTCTGGGCTTGATAAACGCCCAGCCTGGGGCCCACAAGTTGTAGGATCTTCTTTTTTTGTTTTCTTTTTAATTTTTTTAATGTTTATTTATTCTTGAGAGAGAGAGAGAGAGAGAGTGCAAGCACGGGAGGGGCAGAGAGAGAGGGAGACACAGAATCCAAAGCAGGCTCCAGGCTCGAGCTCTCAGCACAGAGCCTGATACGGGGCTCGAACTCACAAGCTGAGAGATCATGACCTGAGCCGACGTCGGACACTTAACCGACTGAGCCACCCAGGTGCCCTTAGAGTCTTCTTTTAAAGCAAGATAGCCATGCCGGCTGTCTGGATGGGTAAGGCTGGGGCTATGAGTAAGCCTGCTTTCCACAGTGGGTAAGATTCAAAGGGACCCAACGGACTATAATAGAAACTCAGGAGAACCTTTAATACCTACAGGAAGATTTTGAAGAAAGAGAAACGTCATCATAGCTGTTCTTCCTTCTTTCAGGCTTCTCCATTCTCCAAGCCATCATGGAAGCCGCAGTGCAAAACAACTGGCAAGTGACAGCACGGTCTGTGGGAAACATAAAAGACGTCCAAGAATTCAGGCGCATCATTGAAGAAATGGACAGGAGGCAGGAAAAGCGATACTTGATTGACTGCGAAGTCGAAAGGATTAACACAATTTTGGAACAGGTACATTTGAGATTTATTCTACCCCCAGCCGATGTGTTAAATCATCAACCTCAGGCAGTTCCCGTCTCTGCTAATAAATTAAGTAGCCAACGGACTAGATTTGCCAACAGTTTTTGATAGTCTCTCTAATCTCTTTTTTTTCCTCCCCAGTGGCTGCAGGGGGGAAAAAAAAAAAAGAAAAGCAAATCTAAGCTCTTGAAAATTGCATACCATGATTAATCTGGAAGTCTCTGCAATTTAATGCTACCTATCAGATAAACACACCCTTGCACACCTCTGTCTCATAGAGAGCTGACTGATTCAAAGTAATCCCCTGCCTTTTCCATACCTTCTGCCCAGCAGGGGACAGACAGAGATTAGGCAGGGCAGAGGGGAAGGTTTTGTTTCAGGGGCCTAGTCACAGACTGTCAAGACAGCATTCCCTAGGTTCAAATGTGTGGGTATTTTTGTAGAATATAACCTCTGGTTCCAGAGACAGAGAGAGTGTATAGACCACTGAGAGAGTAAGACGCATGTGAGGGGGCGGGGGTGGGGGGGGAGTGTTTATGGTTTTTAAAATGTGAACAAATCAGAAAAGAATTAAGCTGGGGGAAAATACCATTCAGTGGGCCAAAATGCATACATTACGGAGCTCGGATATTTAAATTTAAGACTAAAAAATATTAGAAGAAACATTTCACCCTAAGCCAGATGGATGCTCTGTTTGGAGTGAAGAGTCCAACTGAAATGTGATGTAAGTGTATTCTTTTCCTTGGAAGTCTCAATTTTCCAGTTAATAACAAAGTGCCTATGTTGCCATAAACAAAACTGTAGGGGAAACATTTCCATTCTAATTCGATCCCAGTGTACCTGGGGGCCACGGCTGCTTCAGAGATTGAAATTAGAGTGAGCAGCCATTGCCTAGGAGAGCTGTTTTATAGCAAATTAAATATTAACAATTTGTCAGATATGCGCCCATAAGAAAAGAAGGCAAAAAAAAAAAAAAAAGAAAAAGAAATAGGGAAGAGGAGGGAAAAGAAGGAGGGAGAAATAGAGGGAGCTGGGGAAAAAGAAAGAGAGGAAGGAAGAGAGAAATCGCTGACCCTGCATCATAGAGCTACAAAGCCACAAAGCCGTCCCCTTCCTAAGAATGGCATCACCTCGAGTGAATCACGGCTCACAGGAGATCTAGAGCATAGCCCGGCTAAATCAGATTTCCCAACTAACATTCTCTTGAGCTGCCCAAATGATCCCCCCCTCCCTTCAAAAAAAAAAAAAAAAAAAAGCCTTTGATTTTCTTAGATCTTGAAAGCGAAGAATCAGGTCAGTGATGTTGGTGTGTGCACTACATGCCCTATCAAATTTATACCAAAATAGCCTCTTAGTGGGTGACCTACTTAATAGCCTAAAGCACAGGAACATCCCCCTTGTCGCACTTCATCTTCCTTCTGTTGTATTAGGAACTTTGGCTTCGTGAATATCTTGCATTCTGTGAGGTCTTCTGGGTTTTATAGGCTCTTCCCCTGCAGTCTGGGATTCTTTGGCGTCATGCTGCAGAAAACGCTGCGGGTGGAGCTCCGAATTTTATGGAGCTAGGGGGATCTTGGGCAATTAAAATACCTATGCCTCAGTTTTCTCATCTCCGTAATGGGAAAAAGAAAATTTGCGCCACCTCCCTTGGTTGGTATAATTGCTTCAAAAGACATACGCTGCTATAGAAAAAAAAAAGAGTCGTTAGTACCGGACACCACACCAACATTATTGAAGAGCCCCATTCTCTCTTATCATGCATCACTTTCTATCTTCCTTTCCTCTCTACGGACATTCACAGTATCCCTCAAAATACTTCCTGTACAATTTTTCAGGGAACACTGTTCAAAGAAAAGTCTTAGCAACATCCAGGTAAGGCTCAAGCATTCCTTTCACTTATTTTTGTCCCCTCTTTCAACTCATGGTGGCTTTCCTGCCATTTAAGGGATTTCTATCAGGCCATAAGTACTGTGACGGAGAGGCCGTGTCTGTCTTCTTCACAGTTGTCTCTCCAGTGCCCAGTAGAGTATCCGGCACACAGTGGTGGAGCGATGGGTGGATGGATGGGTGGACTGATGAATGAATGGATACTGGACAAGCGAATTTCAGTCGCTTCTGTCGTGATTTCGCTATGCTTACATGAAGAGGTAAAAAAAAGTGCCTGCAGCCACATGGTATGATTATTAAAGCACACGTTTTTGCAAAGGTCTAAGGTGGTGGCTTTCGGCTTAGGCCTATTCCTGATCATATCACGAATTTGCCATAACTTATTGTTTTATACAAAAATAGATTTCTCATTAAACAAACTAAATTAAGCAACAAATTCAACATGGTATTTCTTTAGAGGAAACGTTGTAGAAACTGAATTGAAGGCTAAAATAGAGAGATGTCGCTTTTGTCATTGGTTTTTAACCATTCTTTTGACAAACTTCTCAAAATTCACTCTACAGATCCTCTTTAGAATGATAGCATTTATATCTAATTCAATTAGTATTAAGTTCTTATAAAAGATGCCCCTATCCCCCAGAGGTGTTTTCAACTTTGATTGGGGTTATTCTCATAAAAGGAAACTTTTTTTCATGATTATTTATTTATTTTGAGAGGGAGAGAGAGTGCAGAAGCCGAGGGAGGGGGGCAGAAAGAGGGAGAGAATCCCAAACAGGCTCCACGCTGTCAGTGTAGAGCCCGACACAAGGCTCAATCTCATGACCGTAAGATCGTGACCTGAGCGGAAATCAAGAGTTGAACACTTAACTGACTGAGTGACCCAGGCGCCCCTCATAAAAGGAAATTTCTGTTGTCTCCCATAAGATGATACTTCATGTCACTGTAGAGGAGGAGCCCCTTACACCACTCTAACGCTAGTCCTTACAGATTTGGTTTTGGCGTCAAGTTCATATTGTACTCTACATCCCATGGGTGTGAGTGGAAAGTCGTCAATATGGTACAACTTTTTAAATACAAACAGATCTTCAGCATAGTGTCATATAGCATAACTTGCCCGTTTCATGATAGAGGTTCTAATTTTCTCTGTGAATGTTCAAACACTTATAGGGTGAATAAAAAATTCTTCTACCATTTCTTTCCAAAGCTCTTGTTTTGAACTCTTTCAAACTTTCAGACTACAGCAGGAAAAAAGACTCAATTAGGTACTAATCTGTCTTTAATATTGCTCCTTAATGGTTGAACTACAAGGAAAGTATTCCAAATGTATAGCTCTAAGAGTTAACATGGAAAAAGAGCTAGAAACAGATGAAACCATGAAAGATTGTCAGGGTTCAGGGAGAATATTTAGAAACTGTAGATCCTCCTTCCCAGTAGCACACACCTGTGGGCTGCTTTTGACAGGCAGGGCCCATAAAATGATATGGCTCTATTGGATGTTGAATGTTTATTAGGAGAGGCAGCAGAGCGGAGAGTTTCAGGACATGGACTCTGGAGCCAGTCTGCGTGGCTTCTATTGTGGACTAGCTGTGTGACCTGGGGCAAGTTTCTCAACTCTCTGTGCCTCCATTTCCTGCTTGTAAAATGGGAACGATAAGTGTAACTTAATGACTGAATATATGCAAAGCATTTAGAAAAGTGTCTGACACGTAGGGTTTGTATAGTGCTTTGATACTAAATGATGTGTTTTCACATAGATTATCTCCTTTGAGTCTCGCTACGGAAGGCCGGCAGGGCAGATGTGTTTATCCCAAATTTACAGATGATAAATTGATGCTTAGAGACATTACGATGATTATTCCAAATGTGGTGCTCCGCTAAATCCTAATAAGCAACCAAGCAAGGACAAACTCAGGTCTTCTGACCCCTAGTCCAGTGCTCTTGCCCCTATACTGAACCACCTCCCTCAATTTCTAAGGCATTTATTAAATATTTAGCCGAAGCCAAACCTTAGATTAGGCTTGCTCCTCAAGTTACGTCTTAAAACACTTGCAAAGCAAATGGAGAAGGTCCAGAAAACGGCGGCAAAAAATGATTAAGGCATTAGGAAATAGGTCCTACGAGGAAAGGCTAAATGGAGTTGGGGTTGTTTAGCCTGGTGAAAGAGAACCAAGAGGCAGTTTAATCACCGTCCCCAAGTAGAAAGAGTCATCATAAAGAGGGCACCGACCAACCGTTCCGCCTGCTTGAGGACTGTACCAGAACAAATGAGCTTCACTAGGGCCAGAGAGAGAGTCGGCATCCGAAAGGGCTTGTCGCAAGGAGAGAGGAAACTGGAAGGAAGTAAAATCTCACCAGTGGAGGCTATAGGAAGATGAGACCATTCCAAAGGAGCGAAAAGTCAAATCTAGAATAGTTTTAAGATTGTTTTCGAGAATAGACAAGTATTCCAAGTCCATCCTGTCTGTTGAAATATCCTTATAGATTTAGTTTAATGAATAGATAAGGATATTGCCTAAGTTGCCCACCCATTGGATGTTTAAAAGGTTGTTTCTTTAAAGACATTTAAACAGCCCCCCCATCCCCGTTCTTTGGTCTTTACCATGTGCTTATTTTCTCCATCAGTAATTTGAAGGTAAAGCTCAGCACAGCCCCTGCTTGAATGATGATATGTGCAAACTCAGTGGGGCCCAAACCAATATGTGGCAATTGGCTACTCCTGGGAAAAAATACAGACTATACGCTATTCCCTGGAAATGTTTCAGGCTAAAATCACCTCATCGTGGATGATGTGAAGGTACCACTTCTTGAGGACAGAATCCTGAAGCGGGTCAAACCTTTGGGGTCCTTTCATTTGACCCCACTGTCACATCAAAGACAGTCATTTAAAGAAATGAAACATCCAAGTTGGTAAGTCAGGTGTCTAAAGGTAACAGTTTAAGCAAGATAAACAGCATCAGGGGCCCTTCTAAAGTATGGGGCTGTACCACAAAGGACACAGTGCTCACTCCAAAGTGTGTATAGCGATTGGGCTCCCTAGAGCACTGTTGCCAATGGCTAGGCCCAGGGGAAGTGAATTAAAAATGTTACACAGCCTTATACCAGCT